CCTGCCACGTGAAATTCAAGTAAAGAGAAGAGGAGCAAAGAGAAAGATCAAGACAGAAAAGGGTGTGAGTCCGAGAGGTCAAATGCGTGGGCTCACCAGAATTCAGAAGAGACAGGGAAGAAGTGAGGATAAACGGCTCAAGAAGGCAACCCCGGGTGTTTGTCAGAACATCACCTCAAAGGAAATGACGACAATTGAAATCACCCAGCAGGAGCACAGGCTCCGGCAAGGAGTCCAGTAGGTGTTTCAAATTGGGAAGAGAAAGCGGGACACTCGGGGGGAGATAAATGGAACAAACGGTGTACCATTTCCTCACAAAGATACGAGTACCAGAACAATGGAGAGGCGAAGGAAAAAGTAAGGGGACAAAGGGAACATCAGAGCGAATCAAGAGAGCATAAGAGTTAGGAGCCCTAGCAACAGCTGGGGGGGAGGGAGAGAAAGGAATAGCCACGAAAGCGACTAGGACGAGCACCAAGCATCGGCTCCTGGAGACAGACACGAAGGGGCGAAAACCGCGAAATCAGAAGTTGGAGTTCAAGGAAATTGGCGTAATAACCCCGAACGTTCCATTGAAGAATAGACATCGATGAGAAGAGAAAGGACAGCAACAGAGAACAAGGAAGAAACAAAGGTGAAAGAGGAACATAGCACGTTAAAGAAGATCAGGGTCGGGATCAGGGTCAGCAAAGTCAGGGTTAGGGGGTATGAGTTAACTGAGCAATGACAGAGGGAAGGAAGCGGGAGAACAGACCAGAGCTGGACAGGCGGGGTCCGGAGGAGGAGGAAGAGGAGGAGACAACCGAGAGGAGCAGTCAAGGACAGCAGCAGGAAGAGGAGTAGAAATAGGGGAGCGCACCTCAGCAAGGGTGAGAGGGAAGCAGGGGCCAAAGAAACCTCCATAGCAGGAACAGGGGGGCACAACCACCGAAATGGGAGGGGAAGGAACAAGAGTGTCAGAAATAGGGGCCGAGGAAGAAAGTGAAGTCTTCTTACCCGCTGGGGAGGAGGAAGGAGAGGAGCCTGGCTTACGCTTCTGACTTAAAGAGACAGGTGTCCCAGCAACTACGTACTGGACAATGGATTCCAGCGTCTCAACTTGAGAAGCTGAACGAGAGCACACACGACGGTCATTGGGAGAGCGATGGACATCAGCCCGCACTGACAGGCGGCGGGGAGAGCCAATAGATGGAGGAGAAGGATGGGAAGGAGGATTGGAGGGAGACGAGGAAGAAGACACAGGAGACATGACAGACCGGGCAGAAAGAAAGGGGAACTCCAGACAGAGGACCAGGAGGGGGGACCCTTCGGGACAGAACTCAAAGGAACAGAGGAGGGGGCAGTGGGCATATCAGGGTCCAAGGCCCAGAAACGGTTGTGAGTCTGAGGAAGGTGGGAAGGACGAGGAGAGGAAGAGCGCAACATGCGAGCATAAGAGATGTTAGCATAAGGTAGGAGCCGGTGAATCTGGCGCCTTGCCTCAGGAAAAGATAAACGCTCCCAGTGCTTCAAGTTGAGGACGGCTTCCTCAAGCTAGTAATGTATACACGCACAGGAGAAAGTAGAGTGGGCCTCATCGCAATTGAGTCAGGGAGCCTGGGAAGAAGTGCACTCTGACTTAGAGTGACCTTCGCCCCCATACAAAGGACAGAGAGAGAGAGAGTTCCAGAGCAGCAGGGGGCACCATGCCCAAACCTCCAGCACTTATTACAGAGCCAATGAGAGGGAATGTACTCCTGGACGGAGCACCTGGCACCAGCAAGAATGACAAGAGGGCGGAAGGGTCCTACCATCAAAAGTAATCTTCACAACCCGAAGAGGCTGACAGTGACGACCATGAGGAGGACGAGTAAACGTGTCTACCTGGAAGACAGAATGGCCCTGGGCCTCAAGGATATGCTAAATATCACTGTGGCAGTCCTGCAGATTCTGAACACCGGTTGCAACATGGGGCAGGAGGAGAATAGTGCCAACACTGGCATTCAACTGAGCGTTCTTGGAGATCCGAACAGGGGTCTCGCCAAGTCAGAATAAAGCAGCTAAGCAGGAGGCCACATCCTGAGAAGGAGTAACAACAACACGTGTACCGAGACAGGTGGGGTTGAAGGTGACAAAGGCATCTACGGAATCAACAAGGTGCCTATGAAGGGAGAAATCGTCAGGAGGCGCAGAATCAAGAGGGAGGAGATCAAAGTATTTGGCCCACAAAGCGGGACCAAACAAGGCTTGATACGCATCAGAACAGGAAGGAATCGAGTGAGTGCGGCAGTGTTGAGGACGGCGTTGAGAACCCCCAGAGAGAGAGGGGTTAAAAGGCGCAGTAGTCACAGCTAGAGACTGAGCCGTGCCAGGGGATGAGGTAGTCACCACTGGGGGCTTGGGGCTTGACCTAACTGCAGAAGAGGGAGTGGAGCTGAGGGGAGTAGTCAGAAAGGCTGAAGGAGGAGCAAGGTTGGGGCACAATGCAGCGGAGGCTACAGAGCCCGGTCTTCCAACACGGACCAAATCGGGGGTTTGGTCGCCCACCCCACGAGCCTGAGAAGGTAAAATAGGAACAGAAATCGACATAAGTACGGAAAGAGAAACATTCATTCACGAATGTGCCCCCACACCCACCATGGAGCCACAATTAGAGGCAGGACACCCAAAAAGAAGCTATCGCCGATCATGCCGGGGCCTCCTAGGGGTGCATTGTGAGTATACGCCCCACAATCGCCACTTTAAAAACCGTCAGTCCGTCGAGATCAGGTTCAGTGACGAAAGGAGGACTGACAATAAAAGGTTCCCCTCGCTCTCAATGTTGGGTACTACCCAACATCGAGAGTGCTGATGTCTACGGGTGCAAGAGTATGCCTCCTCAAACACCCGGGCGTCAAAATAGAAGAAGTCCAAAAGAATAACGAAAACAAGCAAAAAGTCGGCAGGAAACGACAAGCAGATAGAAGAGGGGGGAGAAATACGAAACAGAAGGAAAAGGAAAAGTCGTTTAGCACAATAAGAGAGGACATCAGCAGGAGCACAAGACTACAAAAGGACAGAGGACTGTCCCAAGGAGCATCACACACCGGCAGCCGCCCACCAAGCCCCCCTTACGGCAACAATGAGCTGAACAGGGATGGGAGTTTACATTCAGTAATTACAGCTTATTTTACATTCTCTAGAAACTCAGAATAAGGGGTGACATGACTGAAATATACAAAGGAGACGGTAAAACTGCTTGGATAAGTGCTGGTTTGGAAATCGGATTGCAGATTTATGGAATAAAATACCAGCTAATATATCAGACATAGGACTGCTGTATTGTTGCAAGTATAGTTAAACGTACATGTTATGAATTTGGTTGAGTATAAATAAAAGCTGCTTCAAATGGGCCAATAGACTATCCTGCAATTTTCTTCATTCTATTGTCACTGCATTCCTACAATTTTATCTCATACAAAATGTATTGCTCATAACAAACAATACTACTGAATTTCATTATAAAATTATTTGTTCTAAATGTAATGCTAAAATGGGATTTGAGAAACATCAGCAGACACTTTAGTAGAACCTGGAAGAGATGCTTGCAAGCTCACCTACACTTAATCTAGATCAGGCATGTCAAACACGTGTCCCGCAGGCCACAAGCACACCTGTGGCCCGCACAAAGGATACTGTAATACAAAGGATACTGTAATACTATATTACTATGTAATACAAAGGATACTATATTCTGCAATAATTTATATTAAATGACTTCAAATATTTATGGTGCGTGGCCCCCATGACAACACAAATGTGACTCATACGGCCCCTGGGGAGGACCCTCAGTTTGACATGTCTGATCTAGATGATTTACAAGGAGAAAGTCATTAGAAAGTTGTGGAGGCATATCAAAAGATGCCAACATATAAACAATAATACCTGTATTATTGTACAGAAGTAGATGACTTTTGACTCCTGTTAGCAGGCTTAGAGCCTTTCCTTCACATACCTCATGTTAATTAAGCCTTACTCTACTAGTTCTCTCTGAAATACAACCCATTATTCAGTTTACAAAAGCTTCCCAATTACTGCTGGGTGAACAGCAGTAAACAGTCAAGGATTAGTGCCTAATTAACCCTTCTTGATTAGGTTTGGATTTGAGCCCTTGAGATTGAAGGGCTCAAACTCAGACAAAATTGCTTGTAAAGCTCGAGCTTTCTCAGGCACTGAATGTTTAGGAACCCTAAAAATACAATACAATTAAAAATTCACTTACAAATCAACTTTTAAGAGCACACCGATGTGAAGAAATTAGTTTGTGAAAGCCTTTGATTCATTCTGGTAAAGCTTAGATGACAAAATGTTAGCTGTATGGAAATTCTCATAACAAATACTGTACCTAAATATTTTTCCATTTGCTGAAAACAGCTTGTTGAAAATATTTTACTACCAGAGATTTTTTTTTGGCAAATATCATTCTCAGTCTTGGCTTGTGTGCATCTGCTCCACTTCTGGTTTATCTTTTGGTTTCCCATAATTCGGGAATCAAACTCCTCCTAAGCCATATACTGATCTTCCCCAGGATGGAACCCACAATAGTTGCCTAACTCCCAAGTACCAATTTATAACAAGGTGAACATAGGCATCAGGTGATAGTAAACAATGCCCAAATGCGTGTCCTACTGCGAGAATCAATTCTCAGACCTTCTGGCTGCTAGCTGACTGACTACTATAGGTAAAACACTAAATTGCTTTTTTGTCTTTCTTGTCAAGAACGTGTTTATTATTACTGCAGCAGAAAGTTTATGATGAGCTATATTTACACGGACTAGGAAATGCTTTCAGTTTACTTATTATTTATTAGTCTAGGTAAGTGGCCGAGCATAAAGTTATCTGTGCTGAGCTTGGCTAATAAAGTTACACGTGTTAATCGTGGTTAATGAAATTATAATATCCATGATAAACTTGACTAATGAATAGTTGCTCATGTTAAACTTAACAGTAAAAAAAATTGCTAATGCTTGTTATAGTCATACTTGAAACAGCTGATCTATATCAGGTGGCACAGCTTTCTCTACCAACACAGAGAGGAACTGCTCTTTCTGTTGGTCTTCCCAATTAGTAAACCAACTCAAGACACAGCGCAGCTCCTGCTCCTCCCCACTCAGGGACATCTATACTGCGAGAATCTGAAATATACATCATATAAGAGTCACTGCCAGAACATAACCTTGCAAGTTTATGTTCATAACCTTGCAAGTTTATGAACATAACCTTGCAAGTTTATGAACATAACCTTGTGTGTAATCTTGCAATTAGTTTTATTACTGTTTAGTACCTTATTCAGATTTTTTAGGTGATCCCAAAACATTCATACTGTATTTCCTACTTGGAAACACTTACTTCGTTAAAAAATAATAATAATTCATTGTATTGGGGGACAGGAAGCCAGAGTGTATTCATACACGTTAGGCCTATATTGAGGCCCCCCACCCCCCCCCCACCCCAGGTCGAATTACTGACCCCGCCCAGGATGCAACCCCACAACAAGCTGACTAACTCCTCAGTATCTACTTACTGCTAGGTGAAAGGCAATGTGCACAACCATTTCTGTCCCACCCAGGATTTGAACCCAGAATTCTCTATTCTGGGTTCGAGAACTCAGAATTCACGTCGAGAACAAACCTGATTGTACTACCGGGACCCTCCTAAATAGAGGGCCTGTAGATGCTGTTGGGCAAATATTAATGGTTCATGTACCTCTTCAGTGTTAACACTAAAAACACAGCCTACAAATAAAGCTACATAATAGTCACCATTCAAAATACATGTAAGTTGAAAATCTGCTTGAAAACTTCTACACCCTGCTAAAATATTCTCCCCCCCCCACCCCACACCTTATTTTTACATACGTTGGTACAGGAGTAGATGACTTTCGACTCCATTTAGCAAGATAAGAGCTTTCCTTTCCCATAGTTCATAATAAGCTTGAATTTACTAGTTTTTCCTGGAACATGACCCATCGACTGGTTAACAATCAGGACCCAGTTGAATAGTTATGGATTGGCATCCTGGCCAGGACTCAACCTAGATGAAATTGCTGGCAAGGTACGGGGCGAGTGCTACCACTACACCACCAGAGATTTTATATGAACCAAAAATGCAAATAGGGTTAGCAAATAAGTTAAAGGGATAAAGCTCCATTCTTGACACTGGTGTCAAAATAATCTAATGCTGCAATAGTTCATAAAATGAAATCAGAAAAATTACATTAGCTCTTTAGAATATACTGTACTAAGTTTTTTTTACAGATACATGAAACCTATATGATGAAAATTATTTAGAATAAATATTATGTAAATTTTTCCACACTTCATTGGAAATCTTGCATAAAAAAATAGCCTAAAAGTTATTTTTTATCTTCAAATGTAATCATTGTATATTTTTTTTTTTTTTGGCGAGAGGCAGCTTGTGTATATACAGTATATAAACAGAGGCTGGGTATGCCTTTCCCATATACTGTACAGGCATAGGAAAGGATGTATGGAGACTACCACTGAAATCAGTTTGATTTCCAGTGTCCGGACAACAAAACGACAACATTTATATGCCTGAGGGTCACTATCTCTCTAGCGGCTTCAACAAGGCCAGGAAGCCAGCAGCTTTTCAAATGTCCCACATTGTTCCTCAGGATTTTTTTTGTCTGACTTTTGAACTGGTGTCTTGGCATTTATGGCTTCAGCGGGTAGGTGATTCCATGGGTTTATAACCCTATGGGTGAAAAAGCATCACCTGTTGCTGTTGCCCCCTAGGATGCACAACATTTGACCTTTTAAGTAAATGGCCTGGATTAATGTCCTCCAACTTTATAAGTATTATAAAAGTCTAGATGAGATCAGCCCCATCATGTCTGGTTATCAAAGCTGTTAGTCCTATGGCCCTCAACTGTTCCTCATACTGAGTCGACAGTTTTGGGATAATTTTTGTTGCTCTGCATTAAACTGGCTCCAAAGCAGGTATGTCCTTTTGTAAGTGAGGTCTCCATGCTTGGATAAAGTAGTCCAGATGGGTTTGGGGAAGTGAATGTAAAAATATTGTTAGGCTACCAATTTGATTTATTAAGGGTTAAACACTATATACAGTACATCAATTTATGTGTAAATAATGCCGCACCTCTTGGGCCTATATTCATATAGCATCCGATACCCCATAGATGTATGTAACAGTAATTAATTGGTGAACCTACAGTATAAACAATATCTTAAATTAATTTTCACAGGTCAATGAAATAAAATATTTCAAACTTGAAAGATATTCATCATGAAAATTATAATAATAATGATGGTAAGGATGTCAAGCTTACATTATGCCACAAAAAAAAGCCATACAAGAGATCCCCCTAGTTTTAGATTCCTGCAGAAGGCCAGCACCCAGTGGGCAGGACTGCTGCTGTCACCACCTCCTGTACTAGACACTGCTGCAGGAGGCCAGCACCCAGTGGGCAGGACTGCTGCTGTCACTACCTCCTGTACTAGACACTGCTGCAGGAGACCAGCACCCAGTGGGCAGGACTGCTGCTGTCACCACCTCCTGTACTAGACACTGCTGCAGGAGGCCAGCACTCAGTGGGCAGGACTGCTGCTGTCACCACCTCCTGTACTAGACACTGCTGCAGGAGGCCAGCACCCAGTGGGCAGGACTGCTGCTGTCACCACCTCCTGTACTAGACACTGCTGCAGGAGGCCAGCACCCAGTGGGCAGGACTGCTGCTGTCACCACCTCCTGTACTAGACACTGCTGCAGGAGGCCAGCACCAGTGGGCAGGACTGCTGCTGTCACTACCTCCTGTACTAGACACTGCTGCAGGAGGCCAGCACCCAGTGGGCAGGACTGCTGCTGTCACTACCTCCTGTACTAGACACTGCTGCAGGAGGCCAGCACCCAGTGGGCAGGACTGCTGCTGTCACCACCTCCTGTACTAGACACTGCTGCAGGAGGCCAACACCCAGTGGGCAGGACTGCTGCTGTCACCACCTCCTGTACTAGACACTGCTGCAGGAGGCCAGCACCCAGTGGGCAGGACTGCTGCTGTCACCACCTCCTGTACTAGACACTGCTGCAGGAGGCCAGCACCCAGTGGGCAGGACTGCTGCTGTCACCACCTCCTGTACTAGACACTGCTGCAGGAGGCCAGCACTCAGTGGGCAGGACTGCTGCCACCATCGCCTCCTGCTGCACAATACTGCACTTAAGAACACCATCTCAGATTCAAATAAGAATACACAAGACGTGTGGATATGTGTACAGTACGTGGGTGTGTGTGGGTGGGTGTAGGTGTGAGCTGCAGGTGGTGACCTCAAATCCTAGAGTATTGGGCTCCATTCATTCACAAGGTGGAGGTTAACGGGTGTTCAGCGAGGAAGGTAAAGGTGCAGGTGGGTGTTAGTGGAGTGTTATACCGGGGGTAAGAGGAGAACAATAGGGGGGTGTGAGCCAACCCACAACCAGGGGAGAAGAACAGGCCCGCACGGCGTCACAACACACACTGTCTGCACCACCCCCTCCAACACCACCCCCCATCTTTCCCAGCCACCCCCTCCCCAAACACAACCCCCAGCCACCCCCCCACCCATCCTCACAATACCACCTGACTGCCGCCCCCCACCCACCTCCCACATCCGCCCCCGCAACCCCCCATAATCCCCCCCAACCCTCCCTCCCATTCGCCCCTTTGTTTTGTCCCCCCCCCCCAGTCTCAGAAACAACCACCACCACCCACTTCAATTCACCACTACCCCTAGATCCCCGCCCCTCTCCAACCCTCCGCAACCCCCCCTCCAACCACCACCTTCAATTCACCCCCACCAAGTCCAAATCCCCGCCACCTCCTTCAACTCACTACTACCCCTTCCACCTCAACTCTCCGCCCCTCCCCCTCCACACCCCGAGGTCAACAAGGATATGTTTGGTTGGTGCTGACATCAGTGGTAGTTTGTTGTGCACCCCATACTCGTCCTGTGAGTGGTAGTTTGTTGTGCACCCCATACTCATCCTGTGAGTGGTAGTTTGTTGTGCACCCCATACTGGTCCTGTGAGTGGTTTGTTCTGCACCCCATACTCATCCTGTGAGTGGTAGTTTGTTGTGCACCCCATACTCATCCTGTGAGTGGTAGTTTGTTGTGCACCCCATACTCATCCTGTGAGTGGTAGTTTGTTGTGCACCCCATACTGGTCCTGTGAGTGGTTTGTTCTGCACCCCATACTCATCCTGTGAGTGGTAGTTTGTTGTGCACCCCATACTCATCCTGTGAGTGGTAGTTTGTTGTGCACCCCATACTCATCCTGTGAGTGGTAGTTTGTTGTGCACCCCATACTCATCCTGTGAGTGGTAGTTTGTTGTGCACCCCATACTCATCCTGTGAGTGGTAGTTTGTTGTGCACCCCATACTCGTCCTGTGAGTGGTTTGTTGTGCATCCCATACTCATCCTGTGAGTGGTAGTTTGTTGTGCACCCCATACTGGTCCTGTGAGTGGTTTGTTCTGCACCCCATACTCATCCTGTGAGTGGTAGTTTGTTGTGCACCCCATACTCATCCTGTGAGTGGTAGTTTGTTGTGCACCCCATACTGGTCCTGTGAGTGGTTTGTTCTGCACCCCATACTCATCCTGTAAGTGGTAGTTTGTTGTGCACCCCATACTCATCCTGTGTGGTAGTTTGTTGTGCACCCCATACTCGTCCTGTGAGTGGTTTGTTGTGCACCCCATACTGGTCCTGTGACTGGTTTGTTGTGCAAACCATACTCATCCTGTGAGTGGTAGTTTGTTGTGCACCCCATACTCGTCCTGTGAGTGGTTTGTTGTGCACCCCATACTCATCCTGTGAGTGGTAGTTTGTTGTGCACCCCCATACTCGTCCTGTGAGTGGTAGTTTGTTGTGCACCCCATACTCGTCCTGTGAGTGGTTTGTTGTGCACCCCATACTCGTCCTGTGAGTGGTAGTTTGTTGTGCACCCCATACTCATCCTGTGAGTGGTAGTTTGTTGTGCACCCCATACTCGTCCTGTGAGTGGTTTGTTGTGCACCCCATACTCGTCCTGTGAGTGGTTTGTTGTGCACCCCATACTCGTCCTGTGAGTGGTGGTTTGTTGTGCACCCTATACTCATTCTGTGAGTGGTGGTTTGTTGTGCACCCCATACTCGTTCTGTGTTTACTAGTTGTGCTTTTACGGGGGTTGAGCTTTGCTCTTTCGGCCCGCCTCTCAACTGTCAATCAACTGTTTACTAACTACTTACTAACTACTTTACTAACTACTTTTTTTTTTTCCACACCACACACACACACCCCAGGAAGCAGCCCGTGACAGCTGACTAACTCCCAGGTACCTATTTACTGCTAGGTAACAGGGGCATTCAGGGTGAAAGAAACTTTGCCCATTTGTTTCTGCCTCGTGCGGGAATCGAACCCGCGCCACAGAATTACGAGTCCTGCGCGCTATCCACCAGGCTACTAGGCCCCCTCCCTACTCTACTCCCTACTCCCCCCTCCCCCCCTACTCCATTCTGTGAGTGGTGGTTTGCTGTGCACCCCATACTCGTCCTGTGAGTGGTAGTTTATTGTGCACCCCATACTCGTCCTGTGAGTGGTAGTTTATTGTGCACCCCATACTCGTTCTGTGAGTGGTGGTTTGTTGTGCACCCCATACTCGTCCTGTGAGTGGTGGTTTGTTGTGCACCCCATACTCGTCCTGTGAGTGGTGGTTTGTTGTGCACCCCATACTCGTCCTGTGAGTGGTGGTTTGTTGTGCACCCCATACTCGTCCTGTGAGTGGTGGTTTGTTGTGCACCCCATACTCGTTCTGTGAGTGGTGGTTTGTTGTGCACCCAAAACTCTTCCTGTGAGTGGTAGTTTGTTGTGCACCCCATACTCGTCCTGTGAGTGGTAGTTTATTGTTTGGTGTATGCCAGTTTATTGATTATGGTTTATGCCACAAACCTGTGAGTTACCAGGTTTATGCCACAAACTTTGAGTTACGGACTGAACCCGTACTGATGCGAGCCTCTAGCCTATTCAAGAAATGGGGACTCCAGGGACCCCGAATGTGGAATGACCTTCCCAATTATGTTAAAGACTGTACCTCTCCCAACCAGTTCAAGATAAAAACTAAGTACTGTACTACCTAATTAACTCAATGTAACCTACCTTACCCCTAAATGTCAATCCATGTCTACTATTTTAAACAATGCAGTTTGTTGACCAAATTGTATTTTTGCTTTTTTTCTGCCATGTTCCCCCCCCCTCTCTTTTTCCATTTTTTTGTTATTTTTTCTCATCACAATTTATACTTTAATCTCAATTAGTATTAAGTTTTAGTCTTAGTGTTTTTCCTGCCCGAAACGCTGTGCGTAATAGTGGCTTTAGGCATTGTATGTACTAGCTCTATCTATAAATTCATCAACTTTTGTATCTTACCTTGTATGTATGTACTTTACCTGAATAAACATTTACTTTTGTTAAATTGTGCGTATTAATAATTGAAATTGAAATACGTTTATTAAGGTAAAATACACACAAAGGGATGAGGCAGCTCAAGCTATTCTCACCCCGTTATAGGTATTGTATGTACTAGCGCTATCTATCAATCCAACATTATGTTGGTAACTCATCTGTTATGTATGTATTTTTACCCGAATAAACATTTGTATTTGAATTGAAGGCCATGATGCTGTATGCATTCCTTCACAACGTCAACTGTAGGCGAAAACATTATTGTGCGTGCTAGATAATATCTTCCAGTCAAGTAGCTGACAACATGTACAGACTTTGGTTTTTGTTGTTCATGCGAGACGTAAACAAACTTTTCTTATTAACAATCATATTGGTAGGTTTGTCAATAACGTTATGAGACGGATTCACGAAGCTGTTACGTACTTACTTACGAACGTGTACATCTTTCCTCAATCTTTGACGCCTTGGTTTACATTTATTAAACAGTTTACAAGCATGAAAACTTGTCAATCAACTGTTGTTATTGTTATAAACAGCCTCCTGGTGCTTCGGAGCTCATTAACTGTTTAATAATTGTAAACAAAGCCGCCAAAGATTGAGAAAAAGTCAGATTCACGAAAGCACTTACGCAAGCACTTGCGAACGTGTACATCTTTCCTCAATCTTTAACGGCTTTGGTTACATTTATTAAACAGTTTACAAGCATGAAAACTTCCCATTCAACTGTTGTTATTGTTATAAACAGCCTCCTGGTGCTTCCGAGCTCATTAACTTAAATAATTAGGAACAACGCCGCCAAAGATTGAGAAAAGATGTACAGGTTCGTAAGTGCTTGCGTAAGTGCTTTCGTATGGCCCTTGGAAGTTCGTAAGTGCTTGCGTAACTTCTTCATGAATCAACGCCACGATGCGAAACTGCGCCCCAGCAACTGACTCACGATAGATTGGTCCTATATGAGGTCTATTTATAAACATGGATGATGTTTGAGCATGTTTTCTTATACCTGACGCACCTGTTCACCTAGCAATAAATAGGTACTCCGGAGTTATCCATAAAGATATAAAATATGTTGATGGTAATGTGCAACGAGCATGTACAGTGGTGTAGTTACGGAAGTACAAGGAATACCTCCCCATGACACAGCTGCCAGCCAGCGGGTGTACCAGCCAGCGGGTGTTGGGGCGGGTGTACCAGCCAGCGGGTGTTGGGGCGGGTGTACCAGCCAGCGGGTGTTGGGGCGGGTGTTGGGGCGGGTGTACCAGCCAGCGGGTGTTGGGGCGGGTGTACCAGCCAGCGGGTGTTGGGGCGGGTGTACCAGCCAGCGGGTGTTGGGGCGGGTGTACCAACCAGCAGGTGTTGGGGCGGGTGTACCAGCCAGCGGGTGTTGGGGTGGGTGTACCAACCAGCGGGTGTACCAGCCAGCGGGTGTACCAGCCAGCGGGTGTACCAGCCAGCGGGTGTTGGGGCGGGTGTACCGGCCAGCGGGTGTTGGGGCGGGTGTACCAGCCAGCGGGTGTACCAGCCAGCGGGTGTACCAGCCAGCGGGTGTTGGGGCGGGTGTACCAGCCAGCGGGTGTACCAGCCAGCGGGTGTACCAGCCAGCGGGTGTTGGGGCGGGTGTACCAGAACGATGCTTCTATCATGCCAGGCAGGAAGGTGCTTGATACACGTCCCTGTGTCCTACACCCCCATGTTCCTCTCCCTGTCCTACACCCCCGTGTTCCTGTCCCTGTGTCCTACACCCCCATGTTCCTGTCCCTGTGTCCTACACCCCCGTGTTCCTGTCCCTGTGGCCTACACCTCCGTGTTCCTGTCTCTGTGTCCTACACCCCCGTGTTCCTGTCCCTGTGTCCTACACCCCCGTGTTCCTGTCTGTGTCCTACACCCCCGTGTTCCTCTCCCTGTCCTACACCCCCATGTTCCTGTCCCTGTGTCCTACACCCCCGTGTTCCTGTCCCTGTGTCCTACACCCCTGTGTTCCTGTCCCTGTGTCCTACACCCCCATGTTCCTGTGTCCTACACCCCCGTGTCCCTGTCCCTGTGTCCTACACCCCCGTGTTCCTGTCC